CAAAACAGAGACGTGGACAGAATGCTAGGGTGGTTGGTATTCCCTGTCAAGCTGGAAAAATCTAGACGTGGACAGAATGCTAGGGTGGTTGGTATTCCCTGTCAAGCTGGAAAAAGCTAGACGTGGACAGAATGCTAGGGTGGTTGGTATTCCCTGTCAAGTTGGAAAAATCTAGCGTCACCTGAGATGAGCCAATAAGCAGGCACCCCTCTGTGGGGGATAGTATTTTTATGTAATTTTCATTATGAACATGTAGCATGTATCTTTAGTAACAATGACCTTTCCTTAGATAAACACGCCCTAACCATCCATAAGCTTGACACCTGCTGACACATCTGCTATTGAATTGGTTACTTGACACAATCACACGGGTGAGTTCCAGGATGGCTCATAAACTTGCTTCTGATAATTTAATTATAAGCAAAAATGTTTACATTTTGTTTTTATTGAACCAAGATTACTTATATCAGAGTCTGTTTTAGAGAATGACTGCATTACTGCTACTCTAGTCTTAACCTCCACTGTAAGCAGATTTTAAAATTAAAGTGCTGAACTAAAAAGATATATTAAGTCAAATTAAAGGCATATTAAGTCAAATTAAAAACTCAAACCAAAAAACCTAACATAAACATGTCCTGAGACCAACCACATAAAAATGTCATATCATGGGTGATGGAAAGTCTTATTTTCTCTTAAATCTCAATAATACTTAGTAAAATCATTGACTTTTATTCCTAATAAAAAGCTGTATCTGGATAATCATGTTCAGGTTAAAGAAGCAAGAGCGAGGAGCATCACTTTTATAAAAATGATCACTTTGTCACTGAAAATATTAAATAAAATTTCTTGTGATGTTACTAGGGAATGAATTTACAAAACAAGGTTCATTTCCCAGTACCCACGTGGTAGCTCAGAACAATCTGTAACTCCATTTCCAGCAGATTTGACACCTCTTCTGGCCTCCAAAGGCACTAGGCATATGTGGTACACAGACATATATGGAGGCAAAACACTGATACACACAAAAAATAAAAAATATACTTTTTAAAACTGAAAATATTCAACACAGTGTGTATGAATACTATCTGAATGCTACAGTACTGCATGTTACCAACACCATTATAAATGTACAGAACACTTTAAAAACTGTTAAGACTCTCAACAAGAAAGCATTTAGAGGCAGTAAATACAGTCAGTGGAGGCTAGCTCTGGCCTTTCCAGGACGACCACTCCTAGGATGGGAAGCCAAATATATGTCAGGCAGGAATTTGATCTCTCATACCCCAGTACAATGTCTGTGCCTTTCTTAATATGCTTGCTCAAGGAATGTGGAACAGATTTCCATCAATTAATAGTGTTTATAAACACGCATTTCCCAAGCTGCAGGGGAGTTTGCAGCAGGCCGTTGTGCAGAAGGCTCAGGTGCTCGCATTTTCCATCAGCTTCATTTTCTGAGGTCCACGGAACCAGCCTGATTGTTAGCAGATCAGAGCTGCTTTCCGGGCAGGTGGAGTGCAGAACTGCAGGCAGCGCTCTGAATTTCTCAAAGGAAGGGTAGATCATTTGCAGCTCTGCTAGCAATGTTAAAACTGAGATTGACATCAGATGTCAGTCCTTTAGATGTACAAATGTTTTCTTCAGTTTCACACAGATGATTCTCACTGCGGAAATGATGGTGTTTTTACAGTATCAAACACAGTCACTGGGAGTGAAGGTTGCATGTCTATCACTCCAGTCTAGCAGCCTTAGTGTGACAAAGGTGTGACCACTGACTCAGGATTCATTGGCAGTTCCAAGGCAGTCTCAGGTCCACAGTTGTTGATCATTAAGTTTGCTTCGGAGGTTTTAGGATTCCTTGGGTTCTTTGCTTACCATTTACCTTTGAATGGTTTGTAAAAGATTATCTTCTAGTGCCAGGAATTTCAAATGAAGGCTTCCCAATAGGCAGAACAGACTACTAATACCATTGTTACTTAATCAAGCTTTCCTGAAGATGACAGCAGAGTTGTTTCATCAGGGAGAGTTTAAGTTGTCCCTCAGGTCTGGCACCAGGATCACATTCAAGGCTTAAGACATTGTCCTCAATGCAGTGGTTCTCAACCTGTGGGTTGTGACTCCTTTGGGGGTCACATTTAAGATATCCTATATATTATATGTTTACATTATGATTTGTAACACTAGCAACATTATAGTTATGAAGTAGCAAATGGAAATAATTTTATGGTTGGGGGTACCTTAGGGTTTCTATTGTTGTGAAGAGACACCATGACCATGGCAACTCTTAAAAAGGAAAACATTTAATTAGGTGGTTTATTGTTTCAGAGCATGCAGGCAGACATGGTTCTGGAGAAGGAGCTGAGAACAGAGAGGGAGCTATATCTTGATCCCTCAGGCAGTAGGAACTGATCTGTCTCACTGGGCATAGCTTAAGCATATGTGAAACCTCAAAACCCACCTCTACAGTGGCACACTTCCTCCAAAAAGACCACACCTACTCCAACAAAGCCACACCTCCTAATAGTGCCACTCCCTTTGGGAGCCATTTTCTTTCAATCAACCACAGGGATCACCACAACATAAGAAACTAAATTAAAGGGTCATAGCATAAGGAATATTGAGAACCACTGTCCTAATGTTTCAGTCTATTCTTTATATACATGTAATTCTTTTGATAGCCTACATGAAGGAGATTCCTTATTTATTATTAATTCTAGTGACTCCACACTGGTCAGTTCAGGAGGCACAGGCCCTGAGAGACTTGAACTACAACCCAAATGCTTTCATCTTTTTACTTTGCTTATTTCTGTGGACAGACCCTTTAGTTGTCTACTATATAGACAGGATTGCAGCAGACTGGATAGACAAAGCAAAAATAGCAAGCAGAGTTTTCAGATGATTGGAAGACCTAAATCTTTTAAACTAGAAAGTTCAAATCTTTATAGTACACAGTTTAGTTTATTTTGCTAGATATGCAGCACCTTCAGGTTTCTTATGTTTCTAACTCCTTTGGGGCACATTTTCAGTTTGTTATGGCTGACATTAAGTCTCTGAAGATTTTCTAGCTCTTTCGTAACAGAAGGAAAGAATGTCAGTTGACCATCATATACATCAATAACAGGAGGGTGGGCAAGAGTCAGAAGCCATCCAAGAGTGACTGCAGTACATTGCTTGTGATGATGAGCTTGGTCAGACCTGTTTGCACCCACTATCATTCAGAAGATCATTCCCAAGGTTCCTTCATGCCAGGTTGAGCTGGCTGTTACTCTGAATGTAGTCTGTTTTTTTTTTTTTTCGAGACAGGGTTTCTCAGTATTGTTTTGGAGGCTCTCCTGGAACTCACTTTGTAGACCAGGATGGTCTCGAACTCACAGAGGTCCGCCTGCCTCTGCCTCCCAAGTGCTGGGATTAAAGGCGTGCGCCACCAATGCCCGGCTTTTCGTAGTCTGTACTATTTCATGTGTCGGGCCCAGGACTGAACGAGAAGGGGTAGGGTTCCTGAGTGTGGGATGCATGCACTTATACCGTGCTCCCTGCTTCTTTGCTGTGAATGCTGTGGGACTAGACTCCTCAGACTCTTACCACAGTGACATCTCCTGGAATGATGGACTGTAGCCCTGAACTGTGAACCAAAATAAACCCTTTTCCCCATGTACTAATTACTTTTCTGTTACTGTGATAAAATGTGTTTCACGACACCCTCTTAAATAGCTTTTGTCAAAGTATTTTATTAAAGAAACTGAGTCAAATGCCCATTAATAAATGTGAACACGTGACACTACATGGGAAGAATGGTTTTTAAATTGTAGGAATAGATCAGTGGAGGGTTATATGGACATGGAGGAAACATTGCTATGGTCTGTGTTAGCAGTGGTCACACTATTTTGTAAAGCTCTTCCATTTTCGCTAAATAATAATAACTTCTGACACTAAATTAATTTGGTTTCCAGAACTAAAGCAACTGGCTTTTAATTTTTAGTTTTTAAGGTTCTTGCCTTCTCCGTCCTATCCATGCTCAGAAATGATTGGGAGAAACATCTGTCATCTGACATTCCACCACTCTCTGTGTTTTCTTAGTTACCACTGGTAACAGCCCACCAAAGACCCAAAAGAAAAATTTCAGTCTCCTTTCTTCTCTATAACTACCCCAGACTGGTGGTGCAAGTCTTTAATCTTAGTACTTGGAATGCAGAAACAGGCAGATCTCAGGTCTGGTCTCCAAAATGAGTTCCAGGCCAGACAGCCACCTTATGTAGTGACACTGTCTCAGAGAGGGGAGGGTGAACTGGAGAGAGAAGACAGGAGGATGTCCTAAATTAAGAGATTATAACTAATTATAGCCAATTGATTAAACTATAATAAAATCACTATAAGAAGAATATGGCAGAAAACAAACTATACTTTTAGATGATTTTACGAATTTTCTTTTCTCTCTCCCTTCCTTTCTCCCTCCCTCTCTTACTTCCTTCTTCTTTTTTTTTTTTTGTTATTTTTTGAAACAGGGTTTCTCTGTGTAGCTTTGTAACTAACTGGCTTCGAACTCACAGAGATCCACCTGCCTCTGCCTCCCAAGAGCTGGGACCAAGACGTGCACCGGTTTAATTTCTGTTTGATCGTGCATTGCAGTTATGTAGGAAAGGGTTCTGAGGACGTGCATGCTAATATTTGTGATGCAGCGTCAAGAAGTTATGAAGACATTTAGAGTAACTGAAAGTGGCGAAATGCTAATGAGCTAGAGGAAGGCTACGCCACTTTTTTGTTATTCTTTAAGCTTTCTTGCCGATATAAATAATTTTTTAACAAAAACGCTGACGAGGCGTGGGAGATGATGTTCTGGGACGATAAGACACAAGTACAAACCAGCTGTTAAATAAACGAAGTCTTGTCCGGAAGAGCCCGGAACACACCTTTCAAAACTACCGCTCCCGCCCTGCCCGCGGCTCTTCCTTATAGGCTGGTGCCACTCTGGCCCCGCCCACAGCTCCCAGAAGCCCGCGCGCGGCCCGCAGTTCGACTACTTCCTGTGCGAGGCGAGCAGCGACCATGGAGGTTGAGCCTCCTCCTTTGGAGGAGCGGCGGCGGCTGCAGGAGGAGTTGAGTGAGTTCGTAGAGAGCTGCTGCCGGACTCTGGAGGAGGTGACGGCGTCCCTGGGATGGAGCCTGGATCAGCTGGACCCTGGGGACGAGGCGGCGGCCGAGGTGAGGGACGAGGCGGCCCGGCCTCTCCGGGGCCATGGGCTTCTCGTCGAGAGGAAGGCGCGCGTTCGGTCCGGGTCTCTCCGAGCGCTCCACCCCGCTGCGGTGCAGAGGAGCGTAGGGGTCGTTGGATGCATGTCCCGGGGGGTGCTGCTGATGGGTTTGACGATTTGCTTTGTCATCTGTCATAAGGATTCCGCATGGCGTTCAGAGTCAGGGTCAGGAAAGCTGGAGTCGAGTTCTCTTTTCTCTGCCTTAAACCCGGACACCTTCCACTCGGAAAGTACCGGTTCTGGGACGATTAAAGCTGACCCTGAAGAAGTGTATCTGAGTGATCTTGACTTTTGCTCCGATGAGCGCAGGATGAAGGGGAATTTGCATTGCGCAGTGATTTCTTATACCCCCAGCGTTTACTCTACTGCGTTTACTAAACAAGGTTTAAGTCTCACGCCAATGGAAATATTTAAGAGATGTTTGGTTTACATATAAGCTACTCACTATTAAAACTGAAGTGGAAATTAGAAGGAAAATACCCTCCATTGTTCCTTTACAAGTATATTTGGAGTTGCGAATTAACCAATTATAGCTCGTGGATTAAAACCTAGTAACGGTACTGTGTAGAATTTGGGGGAACTGAAAAATTTTGAGCTATGTATTAGATAATTTATGGAATTTCCAGGCCATTGAGCAGGGCCCACTACACCCTTCTATAGCATTGCTTACTCAGCATCAGGGTATTAACACTCACCTAACACTTTGTATAAGGCACACATTACTTAATTTAAAATTCACCCTAACCCTCCGAGGCCAGAATGATTGGCAGCATTCTGTAGATGAGGAAACACAACATCAAAGTGTATACACTGATACTGAATGGCAGCTGGGGTTTGAATGCAGGCCTTCTGACCTCTGAGAATTTGTGTACTTAATTGCTATGTGTAAAACTCCATTGTTAAATCCGTAGATACTGACAGTAAGCTGTGGAGTACACGCTTATCTGATACTCAGAAGAGTAACTGGCTTAAAAAAAAACCTGGGAAATGACATTGATAATTTCTAGAATAGATGCAACCAGATACTTAATGAACCTCCATGTTTCTGTGATACTGCTTAGTGGAAAGCAATGACATGGTAGGGAGCTTCATGGTGGCAGTGAGGGGGATACAGAGAAATGACAGCTGTTGTATTGTCGTGTGGCAAAGTCTGTGATGGGTGGAGTTACAATTTTCGTAGTTCTGGTTACTATAGACTATGGTGGGTCAGCAAATGCTTCTGGAAAAGTGTGTTTTAAAAATCTGCGTGGGTGTGTATGGGGTATGACCTGGGTTATGGATCATTGACTTTTACTTTGTTCAGGGTCTCTTGTCTTGATATTGCATACACCATTCTAGCTGGTCTGTGAGCTTCTGGGCATTTTCCTGTTGCTCTCCTGTCTCATAGTGGGAGCACAGACATTGCAGATGCATATCAACCATGCCCGTCTTTTGCATGGGTTCTGGGAATTTGAACTCAGGGGGCCCTTATGCTTCTTTTACTGAGTCATCTCCCTGGCCCTGCTCAACCCCCCCCCCCCCCCAAATTTCAAAGCTGAAAAGTAAATGAGTAGAATTGGCTAGATGAAGCACAGAGAAAGCATTAGCACACTTGAAATTCCAGGCTTAAATGATAAGATTGGAGAGCTTCAAGTACTTACGGGTGGCTAGAACATTAGGAGGATAGCTGATGGCCAGGCATAGTGGTAGACACCTTTAATCCCAGCATCTGGGAGGCAGACAGATGAATCTCTGTAAATTTGAGCAAGCCTGGTCTACATAGTAGGTTCCAGAGCAACCAGGACACCATAATATACATGCGAATGTTGTAATGGTAGGTAGGTGGTTAGAACCTAAAGGTCCTTGTCAGTCATACTAGAGAATCTTGTTTTATTGTAGTTGTTTGTCTTTTAAATGAGGGCAACAGGGGAGGAGGCATAGGCAAATTTTAAGCCAGGGCATATTCAAATTACATTTGTGTTTTTAATAAGATGTATACCTAATAAAGTAGGTTGGCCTATGGGCATCCCAGGGAGAGATTTATTAATTGGATTAATTAAGGTGGGGAAATTCACTCTGAAGGTGGGTGGCACCATATTATGGGCTGGGCCCTGTATTAAATTAAAGGAAAAAATAACTTAAGCACTAGCGTGTCATACAGTCTTTGCCTCATCCTGTAATTGTGGATGTGAATAGCTACTGCGTTTGCACCTTTGCAGGTGTGACTTCTCTGCAGGATGGATTGTAATCTGGAACTGTGGGCCAGATAAACTCTTCTTAAGTTGCTTTTGCAGGGTGTTTTATCACAAGGGGACAAAAACTAAGAAGGCTTGCAGTGTAAGGTAAAGTCTATGATGGTAGGGAAGCCAAAGCTACAGGGTCTTGAGGCAGTTGGTCATTGCATCTGCAACCAAGAAGCGCAATGAATCTCTGTGTTCAGCCCGCTTTTTCCTTTTGTACAGTTTAGCAACCTGAGCCAGGGAATAGTTCCACCCACAGTCTTCAGCCTCAAAAATTAACCCAGTCAAGATGCTTCTCCATAGATATAGGTTCAAAGACCCTAGGTGATTCTAGGTTTTATCAATTTGACAATTAAGATCAACAATCACACAAATCATGAATATATTGAACTTATTTTTGTTCCTGTTGAACTTTAAGAATAAGGTACTTAATTACTAAAAAGACTAAGGAAAATTTTGTGTGTATATGATGTGGGGTGGTTCAGGATAGTTTTGTGGATCATTTCTCTCTTCTGAGCTCAGGCTCTCAGACTTGATTGGTGAATGCTTTGCCCTCTGAGCCACCTTATTCCTAGTGTAAGGTGCCCGATGAGGTAGATTTGGGGAACAAAAGTATAATGATAATTGAAACCAGAATATTGCTAGGAAACATGTTATCAAACGACAAGAGGTTAATGATTACATGAAATACCAGCATTTAAAAGGGGCAACTGCAGGAAACCAAATAAGAACCAGAGGGGTAGAAATAAACATTTATGAGGAGCTAGATGTGGTGAGGAATAATTGTAATTCCCAGCACAGTGGAGGCTGAGGTGGAAGATGGCCATGAGTGAGTTCAAGGACAGCTTGGGCTACATAGCAGGAGCCTGCCACACAAACAAAACAAAACAAGGGCTGGGGAGGCCACTGAGCTGATAATGTGCTTGCTTCAGAAGCATGAGCATCCCTAGAACCAGCAGCCTCAGTACTGGAGACATGGGGCTTGCTGGCTAGCCAGTCTTGCCCAATTAGGCGAACTTCAGATTAGTAAGAGACCTTGTCTCAAAAAATGAGGTAGAGAGTGACTGAGAAAGACACCTGATGTTGATCTCTGACTTCCACACATGCACATTTACACATGTGCCCCTGTATACATGTGCACATACAAGCAACAAAAGAGAGCAAAGTGTACCAGGAGTCCCAGGATCAAAAGCTCAAATACAAGTATGCTCTTTGGCTTCAGTAGGAGGAAGATTGCTAGTGGCCGGTGTCAGTGAGGTAGTGATGGCAGATTATAGAAATAAACATCAATGACTGTGAGTCTGGGGAGACAGGGAGTCAATCATTAAAAAAGTTAAGCTCAGTTGGGTGATGATGGTGGCCCACACCTTTAATCTGAGCACTTTGTAGGCAGAAGCAAGGAGGATCTCTGTGAGTTCGAGGCCAGCTTAGTTTACAGAGTGAGTTCCAGGATAGCAAAGACCACACAGAGAAACCTTGTCTTGAAAACAAATAAACGAGAAAAAAAGGAAGTAAAACTCTGAAGGGCTGGAGAGAGGACTGAGGCTTTAGACTGATGCATTGAGAGAATTCCCTTTTTTACAAGCACCCACATTGAAGGGAGCTCTGCAGAAAAGGAAGTGCCAGATTGTTGGTTAAATACTATTTTCTTCTTTCTGTTTGATTTTTGCAGGATGAAATCATGATATGCCCTTATGATTCCAATCATCATATGCCTAAATCATCACTAGCAAAGCACATGGAATCTTGCAGATTGAGGAAGCTGGGTTATGCCAAAGAGGAAGAGGTAACACTTGTTTATTACATCACCTGTAATGTAATTTATTCATTTGTAAGTTAGGAGAGTGTATTGTGAGCCCTTGTAGAATAGATAGTACTTTGCCTAACTTCACAAATTGTTAGATAGTTAAATAGTGGTATTATTTATTTCAAATCTTAGAACAGCCAATTGTGAGTCCTTAAGAATACTAGCTAAGGTTTCTTTTTTTTTTTTTTTTTTTTACTGTTTAGGATGAAATGTACAATCCTGCTTTTTTCTATGAGAATTTGAAGATTCCTTCAGTTACTTTGAGTAAGTATATTAGATTATAATTTAAAAATAGTCAAGTTTTTGTGTTAATTTTTCTTTAGCAAAAGAATGGGTATTATAGACATTCTTATGATTAATGATAATAGTATTTAATACACAATGATGATAGTTCATGTAATGTAAAAATAGGACTGGGCTTATCTTAACAGGGAGTGAAAAATCCTGAAGAATTTTGTGTGGTAGAACAGGCATGGTGGCACACACCTTAAATCTCAGCACTAGAGAGGCAGAGGCGAGTGGATCTCTGAGTTTGTGACCTGCCTGGTCTATAGAGCAAGTTCCTGGATAGCCAGGACTGTTACATAGAGAAACCCTGTCTTAAAAAACCAAAACCAAACAATTATATAGTAGGGCACATACCTCCCTTGTGGGTTATAACAAAAATATGATCATGTAGTATTGACTGAAGACTCGAGGAAGGGTGGTAGGATCATGATTCATACAATGTGGAGAGAAGAGAAAGGGAAGATAGAAATAGGATGTGTTCCAGTTATTAGCAGTGTATGGTTAAAGTCTTGATTGACCTTTAGAAGCAGATGCCCTGATTCAACTCAGATATGTAACTTTTGGTGAGATATTGCCCTAGTTATTGCTTACATTTCTTAACTTTTTATGGTACTGGAGACTGAACCTAGAGTCTATTTGCCAGGGACGCACACTATCCCCATCCCTTAAAGATTATGATAAACCTAATACACTTCAAGTGGAGGCTGGACTTTAAGAGATATTAGTTGCTTGAATTTGTACCTGCTAATCCTGAATGCCTGGTTATGTTTTCTGAACTAACTGGAAACTGATCACCTCTTGGGCTGTAGCTAGCTCAGAACTTAATTGAGTTTATAAGCCATGATTCTGATTTTTCTTTTTCAGATAAGGACTCACAGTTCCAGATAATTAAACAAGCTAAAACTGCAGCTGGGAAAGATGGGGATTGTTATAGTCCAAGTAAGTGTTGTTGTAGTTTCAGCTAAGTGGTGAATCAAGGTATTTCTTCTCTCTCATATAAGCATGATACTACTTCTCAAAGAAAACCCTTGTGAAAAGGTTACATTGGAAAAGGATCAGTTTTACATTTAACAGTGGAATAGCTTACATTGTTTCAACTTGATTAATAGCTATTTCCTATTGAGATACACGGGAGGCTCCCTCAAACACCATCTCAGCCAGGGGTACTGTTTTGACATTAACTGATAGGTGTGATTGCCTTGTGGGTAAGTTTTTTAGAAACAAATTATTTAGTGAGTAAGTATATTAGATAAGGGTGTCTTGTTTTGTTCTGTTGGGGTTCAAGTACCCGACCCTGAGAGCTTGAAAATATTGAAATATTCATACTATTCTCTCAGAATATTTCCTCCTAAGTTTGCATTTGTGATCTCTGAGACATTGAATGCCCCAGGAAAGCACAAGCACGGTGGTTATCTGCTTTTGTCTTCATGGGCTTGTAAGGTCTCATGTCTGGCTAAGAGCTGTTTTAAAATGTTTCTGCCTTAAAGTTTGACAAACTAGAAACTATCTGGAAGTGGTTTCTCCTGAGTTGCACTGTGATGGTAGAATGAAGATTTGTTTTGTTCTTGGTCTGTGTATCTTGCGTTCGTTACTTCCAGTAGCCAGAAATATATTTGGGGTAGCACATGCGCCATAACGTGTAGAGGTTCAAGGACGACTTTAGGAAGTCAATTCTCTCCTTCCACAGTGCGGCTTCTGAGGGTTGAACTCATGTGGCCAGACTTGGTGGCAAGGATCTTTACCCACTGAGCCATCTTACCAGCCTAATCATATTTCCTTTCAAGGTTCCCACTTTGGCGCCTGTTGGCTTCAGTTCAGCTTTCAAATTTATAGATCACTGATCTGTGATCACTGAGTCTTTTAGGATCTCTGTTATTTCTGTTTGTTGGCCCTGTTAATAGAGCAGTAGAATTAACTTTTTTCTTTTTTTAAATGAAGGTTCTTTTGAGAGTCTTGACTTTTAAGATACTGACTTGTAGCTGGTTTAGATAGAGTAATGAGTTTGTTTTGGAGTTGAAAGAGTACTTGGCTCATGTAATCCGGTATGTTACAGATAGTAAACAACTGGCTGATAGGGCCAGGCTGAGAAAGTCCTTGTGTGTTTGTTCTCAAAGCCGTTGGTGTTTTCGTTGTTGTTGTCCACTCCCGCCCCTCTTGATTCTTTGAGACAGGGTCTCTGGCCTAGGCTCCCTCAGTCTGACAATGCTCTTACCTCAGCCTCCGTTGGGAATGCTGGAGTTCCTGGTATGTGCCACACACCCAGCTAATCCTTTTATTTTTTAAACTCCTTCACTCCAGAGCTCTTTTGCATGTTTCATTTCTTTTTCCCAGCAAACTTGTGCTATGTTGGAGAATTGTTTTCCTCCATATATGTGAAGAAACATAAAGGAAAGAAACTCACCTTTGCTGGGTGGCTGCAAGGCTGCATCCAGAATGAAATTCTGTCTTGTGTCACAGGCTCTCAGCTGAATTCTATTTTGGGTTACAAATGAACTTCATGTAGTGATAGTCATGGACTGGGGTTCTTTTTGATGTTCAAATGTATTCCATCGTTGTGAGAACATCAGACTGTACACACATGCTCATGTCAGTGCCCTGACCATTCATTTATTGTTTGTCAGTCTAAAAGTAAGCCTGCTACTCACCCTTACATAAGTAACTTGTCAGTTTTTGTTCTTCTGTGTAGCAGAATAGTTGTCTTGTCTTTTGAGAATAGACATGGCAAGTGCTACAGTAACTTGTAGGCATACTGTCTAAGAAAAATAATGTGCAGAAAGTATTAGTATGACATGGGTGAGTTTTATATAAGTAAAAGATTTAGAAAAGGTCACAGGGTGTGACTTTATAGAACTAGACAGTAAAGTTTAGACATCCGAGCTCAGCTCATCACAGAAGCAGTTGTCTTGGTTTTTGTAGTACTGGGAATTGATCTTAGGGCATCTGAGAATTACTTTGAACCCAGTAGAATAAAGAATCTTACTTGATTTTGAATTCATCTTAAGATTTGATTGCTATTTTAATGTCATCTGTAATCCTCTTTTAAAAATGTGCTTAAATCTCATGTAGGGTTCTGCATTTTTTAAAAATCAGGACTATCTTTGTGGTCTACTTATGTCTCAGATATTTTTTGCTTCTGGAACCTGAGAACAAGAATCTCTAACTACTTTCTTACTGATTTATTCAGGTGAACATGATGCGATATGCATTTCTTCATCTTATTAATAGTTTAAGATGCACTAGAATGGAAGTCTTTTGGCAGTGAATGTTTTGTTGTGCCTGTTGTGTCAGTCAGACCTAAGCTCTACTAACCTCCACATGATGGGAACAGCCTAGGCCTAGGTGATTACTGTCTTGTGCAGCTATTTTGACTGGTTTTTGATCATAAGTAATAATTTTATACTTAGTGGTTTACCTTTTTTCTCCAATATTAAGCATTCATGTTGCTTTAAGTTTCATGACACATATTTGAGATGTGGCAAATGGTTTGCTATCAGCGTCCTATAGAAGAACCTTGGAGGGCCATTTGGGTAAATTAGTTTTCTCTCATAGGCCTCGTTTTTATTTTTATTTAATGTTAGGGATTGTCCCTGTGGAGGTGCTCTGTACAGGCATGAGTGCCACACTGAGACAGTTCCTTTGACTAAAATATGTGTGTCATGGGTAAGTTTGCCATGATGGCTAGTGACAACAGGAAGAATGGGCATTAATTAAAGTCTGATTTTGGTGTGATGAGAGTTCTGGAGATGGGACAAGGTGATGATGAGTGCTTATAGTGAAGTCTGGTCCAGTCCTCTGAACTGTATAAGTAAAATTGATAAGAAGGATGAATTGTATTTCATTTCTATTTTACCACAATTTAAAGAATGCAAGAAGAGGACTGACAGCACATAAACATATGGAAACTTTCAGTTTGAAAATTTACACTTCCTATAAATAAAGCTTGCTTAAGTGTGCTTATCCTTTTTTTTTATCACAAATATCTGTTACGAGACATTTAAAATGTAGTTTGTTGTTTAACCTTTTCTGTACTTTTTCTTTTTCAGTAATTGGGGTGAGTATAAAGAGGAATTAGGAACCTGAATGTACTCCTTATTTAAAGATATGCAGTATCCTTTTTTCAAATGATATCCTTTTAAAAGTGTCACTGAAACTTCTGACTTTATCTCAATAATTGTCGCTCTTAGAAGTCTTGGTTTGGAATTTTGATTGCATATATAAGTGTTAGTTTCTATCATAAAGAAGTTTAAGATTAATGAATAAAAGAGAACTTTGAACTTCATTATTGCACTGTTTTTAATTTTGTATTTTTCCTCTCAGATTTTTATAGCTTATATTCAAAGGAATTATTAGGCTTGCCAAAGCCAGTTTTATGTTGTATATTATGTTTAACACCTGGCTACATAAAGTCTTTTGATAGTGCCTCAGCATCAGAGTGATTGGCTGATTTAAGAGGGATTCTCACTGATTTCCAGCCCCTGGTAGCATCGTCCAGGTGTCAAACCCCAGCCTCAGTGCCACTGATCTCTCCTTAGCTTGTGGAGAAGTGTGAAATGTAAAGTCATTCCTTTTTTTCCTTTCTCTTTTTTAATATGCTTAGTTCTGTGTATGCTCTTATTTGGATTCTTCTTTTGCCTCTTATCTGAGATATTAATGAGGTCTGGGGAGAGCTCCTATAACTCTTTTAGGGTGACGTAGCAAACATTAGCCTTCCTTTAGTCATGATGTTCTCTTTGCAGTAGGAAGACTATTTTCAACTGCTTTGTTTATAGTTACAATCATTTTATTTCTTTGAGAATGCTTGAATCTCAAAACAAAATTTTTCTTCGATGTTTTAATACATCATATCAAGGTATTGTATTTACTTATTGTTTGTTCGTGAGCAGATTTTAGAATGATCATAACTAGTTAGGTGTACTGCTGCTACCTTTTCTATTTGTTTAGTTAAGCCAGCATACTTCCTCTTTTGGAAATTAAAACTAGTTTAAATAGTCTTCTCCTGGTCTTAGGAACTTTAAGATTTCTACTTTAAACAAAAAGGTCTCACTGTGTAGCCCACCCAGGTTGACCTCTCGCTGTGTAGGCCTGACTGTGATCTTCCCAATCCTGAGAGCTAGGATTAGTGTGTGCCATCATACTTGGGGCTTAATTTGCATTTTTTGATTCCCTATTCTAGTCATTGCACAGATGTAATGAACTTGAGTATTGAATGTCTATTAATGTTTCATATGAGTTTTTTAAACATATTCATAGTTCCTTAGTTTGTTTTTAGAAGGACTAAAAATGTACATTGCCTACAAAAATATTTTCAGCTTTTATGAGAAAAAAGACATTTGCACAGAAATAATTCCTCCTTTTGTAATAGAGGCCATACTTAAGTTATACAGAGGCTTTCTTAGCCTGTTCCTGTGGCTTGTGCCTGTAGTCCTAGTGACTTGGGAAGCTGAAGCAGAAGAATCCCTTGAAGCTCAGAGTCTTCACCAACCTGGCAAACATGGCAAGACATCATCATGAAGGGAAAACAGACTTTCTGATGAGCAAGCCTTTTCCTGTGGTTATTACTGCCTGGTTTCATGGACCCTGTCTTAATCTTGTGTGGAGAGAATAGCAGACATCCATGGACATTACCATTTATCACATCCTTTTTATTTTTTTATGTAAAAAAGTAGCTTGTGTTAATGTTGCATTGATGCACATACTTAAAGGAAGTGTAAGTCTATGTGCATCACCCCTCATTTACTCTTGTCTTATTCTCTCTTAGGAATGTACTCTTCATTGCCTGTTGAAGTTCCTCTGAATCACAAACGATCTGTTTGTGACCTTACCCAAGCAGATCGTCTTGCCCTTTATGATTTTGTCATTGAGGAGACAAAGAAAAAGCGATCGGGTTCTCAAGTCATTGAAAACGACAGCGATCTGTTTGTAGACTTGGCTGCTAAAGTCAATCAAGGTTTAAGATGAATATCATTCCTTACATTTCTTGGCATTCTATCTCATGAGTGTTAGTAAAGTGATTTCATTTTTGTGCCATTTGAGGTGGGGTAAGATGGTTGGCTTTGTATCCTCTATCTCATATTGATTTTATTAATTAATGGGATTACTTATGAATGGAGTTTTACTTTAACTTCTACTTTAAATAGTTCCACCTGTAAAATTGCTAGTTTTATGTAATCTGTGGACTTGAACAATTCTGTGTTTACCTAATGGGTTAAAAGAGTGGTTAAAAATAGCCTGCTTGTGTACATAATATAGAATATTTTGAAACTTTTTGTGTGTTACCTTGAAAAGGATTATTCCTAACTGTAAGTTCTTAATTTAAAAGTGGGAATAGATAGATCAGTGGTTAAGAGCTTGTAATGCTCTTGCAAAGGACTCAAGTTTGGTTCTCAGTATCCCCATTGGGTGGCTCATAGCTGCCTGTAACTCCTGCTCCAAGGGACCAGATGGCGTCCTCTGGACTCCTCAGACACCCTCACTCACATGGACAAACCCACAAACAGATGCATAATATAATATATACTATATATATTACATACATATGTGAATTTAAAACTTCTAAGGATGTAATAATTTTATTCTTTCATTAGATAATAGCCGAAAAAGTCCAAAATCTTACCTGGAAATCTTGGCAGAAGTGAGAGATTACAAAAGAAGACGCCAATCCTACAGAGCCAAGAATGTTCATATAACCAAAAAGTCATACACTGAGGTAAGTGTCACATAATCTTATAGCACTTGTGTTGAGGATAAATATTTCCCATTGTTTTCTAAGTCTGTTTTATGCCCTTGGAGGTTTTTCTGAAATGTCCTGAGTTAGTAAAGTATGAGACTCTTAATCCCTGGGTTGTGGGTTCATGCCCCATGTTGGGTGCCAAAAAATGTAAATGGAGTTCTTAATTGGTCTAAATAATAAAAACTTAAGAGTCAGAAATAGAGGAAAACACTGAGAGCCCAGAGAGAAGAAGGAACAAGCCACAGCCACACCTTACCTCCTTAGCATCTCAGCAGACAAAAGTGCAAGTTTCTGTTTCTCCCTGCTTATATCCTCTTTCTGTCCAGCCATATCACTTCCTGTTTCTGCCCAGACATCTCACTTCCTGTCTGTCTGTACAGACCTCCAGACCTCTATGGTTAGCTAGTGGCAAGCTTCATTCTCTGACCTTCAGACAGGCTTTATTTAAGCAAGATAACACCGCAATGCCATACCTCTTTTGTATTTGCCCAGTGTTCACAGGCCTACCTCCTTGTCAGACAAAGGCTTCCCTAGGTGCTGACATCATCTGTGGAGATTGTATAACCTTTAAAGACACCACTTTTTGAGAAAGTGGTATTTTGTTGTCATGAGAGTATAACTTTGGGCTTTTTCCTGTCCTTGGCTTGAGAGAGGGTGGGTAATGAGTTGCGGCTGGCTCTCTATATTGTCCTCTCTGTCCTGGAACTCAATATGTAGATCATGCTGGTATCAAACACACAGATCCTCCTTGCTTCTAATTCCTGAATGCTGGAATTAAAGTATGCCACCATGTTCCTTGGCTTGAGTTGACTCTGCTATTTGCCATTGACTTGCATGAATTATTTGAGCTTTTTTATTTTATTTTAGATTTTATTTTGTGTATGCCTGAGTATATATGTATGCATTATGTATGTTTAGGTGTTCATATACACCAGAAGAGAGTGTTGGATCTGGAACTGGAGTTACAGATGCTCGTGAGCCATCATGTGGCTGCTGGGAATTGAAATGGGTCCTCTTGAAGACTAGCCAATGCTTATAGCACCCTTTCCAGCCCCTGCTGAGCTTTCTTAGATTCTGGGAGAAACCCCACCTCCTTTTTACAATAGTACAACCTTTGCAGGGTTATCATGAAGATCAGTCAGTGTGCTACAAACCCTCAGCCAGGCAGTGGCAGCGCACATCTTTAATACCAGCACTAGGGAAGCAGAAGCAGGCGAATCTCTTTGAGTTTGAAGCCAGCCTGCTCTACGAGTGAGTTCCAACATAGGTAAAGCTAGCTATACAGAGAAACCCTGTCTCAAAAAGAGAGAGAGAGAGAGAAACAGAAAAAGAAATTCCTCAGTAAATGTTAGCTACTACTTTTTGCATAAATATTTTCAATATTATTTTTATTTCATGTGTGAGTGTTTTGCTTGTGTCTGTGTCAGTGTGCCACATGTGCAGAGGCCAGAAGAGTATGTCAGATCACTGAGAGTTGGAGTTACAAATGCTTGTGAGCTGCCATGTGGATGCTGGGAACTGAATGCAGGTCTTCTGCAAGACAAATCAGTGCTCCCAACTGCTGACTTGTCTCCCCAGCCTCTTTTGCAGAGACTTTAACATGCTTTCACTACTTTACCAGATATTGAGGCTGAGATTTTTTTAATTTTTATTAGTCAATTCATGGACTCATTCATTCACTGAGACAGGTTCTCTCACTGTATGTAACCCAGAGCTCGGGCTGTCCTGGAACTCATTCTCAGCAGTCTTCTTTCTGGCCTCCTGAGAGTTTATGTCCCTTAACAGTCTACGTCCTGCCTCTACACTAGTAATTTACCCCTTTTTCTGACTTTGCTTGCATTTTACTCTTCCTAGCTTCTGTTTTATGCCTTGCATAATTTTTGTTTGCTCTGGATTAGAACCTGAATTTTGGCAAGGTTCAGCAAAAAGTTACAGATTATAGTTATTATGTATGCACACTGCTGTAGGGTCTGCAGAGGTGATGGCAAGAAGATATCATCTGAACTTTCAGTGCTAAGAGTGAACCATGTTCCAGATTGTGTGTGTGCTAAAGTATGAGGGAGCAGTGGTTCTTTTTTAAAAGGTTAGATTGGTGAGGTCTTATAGGCCACAGCTCTGAGGGGAAAAGGAAGCAAGGAAGCTTAAGGATACTTCCTGACCTTTTTGTGTGTGGCAGAGCTGTGCTAGGTGGGTTCTAGGTGGTTGTCTAAGTTAGGGTTTCTATTGCTGTGTAAAGACACCATGACCTCTTCTAAAGGAAACATTTAATTGTGGATGGGTTACAGTTCAGAGGTTTAGTTCATTATCATCATGTTGGAAAGCATCTCAGTATGCAGACAGACGTGGTGCTGGAGAAGTTCTGAGTTCTACATCTGGATCGGCAGGCAGTTGGAAGAGAGTGACATTGGCCTGTCTTGAGCTTCTGAGACACACTTTCTCCAAGACCACACATCCAATAATTCTGTGGGAGCCATTTTCATTTAACCAGCAGACTTCAGTGAGCTCATGTAGAGTTATCAAAAAGTAGTAATGAGCTGCTCGAGAGATACTGGAGCTGGCATGTGACTGCCGGGGTGTGTGGCTTATGCCCCTCTGCTGGCTCAGCCTGGGCTGCTGGGTTTCCATAGGAAAGTATATAGTGGACCAGAAGTAGGGCTAAGGATTATCAGCTGGACAGCAGCGGGTATTGCTGAGTACAGATTTTAAAACATTGACAGTCTTTTGGGGATGACTGGAGATTAGGGTTCTGTGGAAACTGCCTATTGTGCTCACTGAGGCCTCTACTGTGTGGTTTCCTGAAGTCATGGAAGACGTTGGCATTGTTCTGTGTTTAGCTTTTGAGCTATGGAAAGTTTCTCTGAGGGAGGGAAAAACTGCAATCAGGTCTGAACTGTAGTGACTTTCTTTGTTGTTTGTTTTTGCGACAGGGTTTCTCTGTGTAGTTCTGACTGTCCTGGAATTCACTATGTAGACCAGCCTGGCCTTGAAATCAAAGAGATCTGCCTGCCTCTGTCTCCCAAGTGCTGAGATTAAAGACATGGGCTACTTCACAATCCTCTGTAGTGTCTTTCTTTGGTAATTGCCCCCATTTCCTATTCTTTGAAACATTTCCTTGTTGGCAGGAGAGAAGTGTCAGCTCTGTTTTGGTTTTATCTGTCTTCCCTGGGACTAGTCCTGTGCTTGATAGTGTAAGTAAGATAGAAAAAACTTTCAAGTTTTTCTCAGAGCTTATGGACTTGACTCTGGAGGAGCATCTGTGAAGTAACTGTAATGTTTCACACCCTGTCTTTAATCTTGGTTTAATTATAAGGTTTAAAAACCATGTCTCATACAGAAGTTTTAAGACTAGGAGCAGCACTAAGAATTCTGCACAACTTTTCATTGTAGGTGTTGTGCTTTGTATACTCACCATTCTTATCCAACCCTCCCTTTTTGTTCCTTCATTCTTTTTTAATTTTAAAAATTTTACTGTAACATGATAGGTTTCATTCTGATGTTTTTGTATGCATGTGCCATCATTGTTTGCTATTCATAAACTCCTCATTGTCTTCTCTTGTCTCTGCCCCCTCCCTCACCTCAAATAGTCCCTCCTTCTGCCTTCATGTCACTTGTATTCCATTACTCTATCTCTCTTTATCCGCCTGCCCTTTTTCGAAAGTGTTTCACTGTGTAGCCCAGTGTATTTTAGAATTCCTTTCGTCGTGGGATTATAGGCATAGCCACCCAGCCACTATTTTTCCTTTCTGTACATATTTTACTATTCTGTATCTGTACATTTTTTTCCTTGCATTATCCAAGAATAAGTTCCATACATCGTGATTCTTTATCCCAAAATAGTATGTGTGTATTCCCAAAGAATAAGGCTAATTTCTTAAATAATCATAGCATAGCTCCAACTTGAAATTTAACAGTGAAATAGTACTGCCACCTACCATTTATTCACCACTGTGACAAGTGCCTTTTTTATAGTTCCTAAATACATGCATCTCATAGTCCATTATATCATAGCCCTTAGTAAAAGATTTTATTTTTAATTACATATAGGTGTGTGGTTACATCCATATGAGTGCAGGTGCCCCCCAAGGAGGCCAGAAGAGGGCATCAGATCCCCAAATCTTGAGTTATAGGTGGTTGTGAGCCATACCACGTGGATGCTAGGAACCAAACTTGGTCTTCGGAAGAGCGCAGATGCTTTTAACCCTGAGCCATCCCTCTAGCCCCTTTTTCTAGTTTTATGTTCTTAAGTTTTAAGGAAACTTCCTTATCTGAAGTTGGTTTTGCTTCTTCCCAGGTAATTCGGGACGTGATAAAGGTGCACATGGAGGAGCTCAGTAACCACTGGCAAGAGCAGGAGAGAGCAGAGGATGGTGCTGAAAAGTGTGTCATGTCTTTCTGATGAAGCCTTTGCTTATTTAATTCTCTTTATATTGAACCCAGGAGCATGCACTTGCTGTGTAGTGTGTCTCTCATGTGCTGTAATTGTGTGTCTGACTTAAAGTAGTGTCTTTTTAATGTATCACCTATATGTACTACTAAACCATAGCGTTTCCAAGACTCTTGGTAACATACTGTGATTCATTGGTGCTTGTTTATTGCCAGTGCTTAGAATTACTGTTCTTAAGAGTTGTGATGTTGCCAGGCATAGGGATATGCAACCTTGATAGGGAAATAGAAGTAAGTTATATTATAGGGGCTGTTTATCCGAATGCTACTTTTGTGGAATATTAGATTATGCTTGTTTATTTACACCCTAGCCATTGATGTGATACAGAAAGGTATACATTAGGTCAATGAGTACAATGGAGAACTGATGGATGTTCCTTTCTGTATTTATTTACTGCAGGAATGAAGAAAGGCGGTCAGCATCGGTAGACTCACGGCAGTCTGGTGGAAGTTATTTGGATGTGGAAAATTCAAGACATAGAAGGGCTAGGAGTAGGAGTCCACACAAACGAAAAAGAAATAAGGATAAAAATTCCGAGTCGAGAAGAAGGAAAGAGAGGTGCGTCTGTGTACCCATGAATTATCCAGTATTGTTGACTTTGTTGTAGAATGCAGGAAAATAAATTGTAGGAATAAGTTAAGTTACGGGAGGAATTCATGCAGTTCTTCAAATTCACCATTGCTTGGTTCATAGACTACCCCTGTAGAGTTGGTAGTTCCTAGTCCTGTGTACACAGCAAAACATCGCCCTCCCCCAGCCCCTTTTCTAGAGACTTATGCATCGTAGGCTATAACTTCAGTCTGTATATGTATATGTATATGTATATGTATATGTATATGTATATGTATATGTATATGTATATGTATATGTAGACAGAACTTCACTGTGTTACCCAATCTGGCCTTGACCTCACTAGAGAGCCAAGGCAGGCCTTGACCTTGTGATCCTCTTGCCTCTGCCTGCCAAGTAGCCTGGGTTATAAACTTGTACCACCAGGTGACTGTCTGGTGCCTCCCCCCCTTTTTTTTTAAATCACTTCTTAACCTGACATGAAAGTAATGTCTGGATAAGACAATGTTATGATATTTGCTTAGACCTTTCTTCTGTTCATATTGTTTTCTCGTGTTTCTCATTGTTCATGCTAATTCTCCAGTTGAAATATTGTTAGAATCAAACACATCCAATTTTTATCCATAAATTTTACTCTTGGTAGTATAATTTTAATAACTAGGAGATATGAATTAATGTTAAATAATAAGTTAAAATTATCTAATCTTGTATGCCAGCTGCTTACTGTGCATCCCCCTGGGTGTCACATTTACTAGGGCTCTGACTGTCTCTTAGTCTGTCCTTCTTCCCCAGTATTCCTGTCCTGGTTGGTGGGATAACCCTCTCAAATTTACCTAAGCTGGGAATCAGGTAGTCATTTACTGCTTACCCTCTGGTCAGGTCCAAATTCCTTTCCATTCTGCTATGTGCCTCCCTTCTGTTCCTGTTGCTGTCTGTCTAGATTAGAGAATAACAGTTGCATTTTGGGTTGCTGCAAATGTCTCTAAACTCACACTCTGTGAATCCATTTCTTATGTGCTGCCCAAGTGAATTCTCTTAAAACTCGACAGCAGACTTCACATTCCTTTGAGTGGCTTTCAGCACTTAGCATCAGTTTCTGCTTGTTTCTTGTACTTTCTGTTACCCCATGGAGTGCACAGTCTGCCCTGGCTAGCCTGACTTGAGTTTTCATCAACATCTATGCCATTTATACTGTGCCCTAATTTATTTGTTTGTTTGTTTGTTTATTTTTGGTGCTTTGGTAAAGTATTGTCTTTTCCTGAGCCCTATTTTACTTCATCAAAAAGGACAGTCTTAACTAGTACATTATTGTTTGCTGTACTATCTTCCCAAGAGAGTCTTAGCTCCTGGAAGACAGGATCTGTGTCCTACTTAGTTTTGTTGTTATTGTTTGTTTGTTTGTTGCTGTTGTTTCTTTGTTTTTGTTTTGTTTTTGTTTTGTTTTTCTGAGACAGGGTCTCACTGGGTAGCTCTGGTTGTTGTGGAACTCACTGTATAGACCAAGCTGGTCTTAAACTCACAGAGATCTACCTGTCTCTGCCTTCCAACTGCTGGGATTAAAGTTATGCACCATATGCCTGGCTCTTAGTTTGGTGTGCTCAGTGTTGTTAAACACTAGACTTTCACTTGTGTCTCTAGGGTCACTGCTAAACAATTAGTGAATCTTTTTTTAAAAAGTTATTTGCCAGACTGTGGTGGTACACACCTTTGATCCCAGTACTCAGGAGGCAGAGGCAGGTGGATATCTTGAGTTCAAGACTAGGATGGTAAATAAAGTGAGTTCCAGGATAGCCAGGGCTGCTATACAGAGAAACCCTGTCTCAAAAAGAAAATACAAAAGTGTGTGTGCTTGCATGAGCTTATTTCATCCAGTGTGTGCAGCTACCTATGGAGGCCAGAAGAAGGCACTGGATGTCCTGGAACTGTAGCTATGCATACTTGTGAGCTGCCTGGATGAGGGGAACTGAACCCTGGTCCTCTGCAAGAGCAGCAAACATTCGCGCCATCTCTCTAGCCCTGGAAAGCTTTTTGTATTGGCCTGACAGTTTTGCTAATTGTACTCTCATTCAGTCTGTATGTCTGAAGCTAGCTGTGATTTAGTTCTCTTATGAAGATGAAAGGCTTGTTTAGTTACCCCCGATTCCCACAGATGAACTCTTGCCCGTCTAGTAGAAACTGTACTTTGACTCTTTTCAGAGTTGACATGATTTTCCTCTTGTTGAGCATGTCTTAAGTCCAGTTAGAGAGCTTCTGGTTATCAAGGTATTTCTGCCATTCCTGTACCTTTAGGGCTATTGTGCCATGCTGGTCATTGCTGTGGTTCAGAGCTGGATAGGACTGTTGGTTGCTTCCCTCCTTTGGAAACTTGCATAGTGCCTTCTGGTACCCTGAAAGCTAGTCTCAAGGAGAAGGCATTTATTCCTGTCAGTTCCAGCTCAGTGTCTCTGGCCCTGTGTCTGAAGTACATGGTGTCTTCAATAGGGACTTACCTCCCACCTCTGAGGGGCAGCCAACCTGTAATGTTTTGGGAGTTTTTTAGGCAACTTTCACCAACAACTCAAAAGAAAGCTTTTCATGACTGGTGTTGGGGTTTTGTTAGGTGGTCTTTGGTTTGGTTCTAGAGGGAACATTGTCAGCCCAGATGAGAAAATTTCATATAAATCATATATTTGTAAAGAGACTTAGGTGTAGTATGGTTTTGTTTTTGTTTTATTAACTAGTTAATAGTATCATTCCTTGTAACTTTTTTCAGACATCTTTATTATTTTGCCCTCTTTTGTATTTATCTCCCTTCCTCTCCCTAATTAGAGCCTCCTCATTTTGCTTACCTGTATTTTAATCTTGATCTTAATTTTAGTAATTTGACTTTCCCTTTTTATTCATAAAGTCTTGTCAGCTGGGAGTGGTGATGTGTGTCTTAAATCTCAGTACTCAGGAGGCAGAGGCAGGTGATCTCTGAGTTCAAGGCCAGCCTGGTGTACATAGTAAGTTCTAAGCTAGCTGGAGCTATATAGTGAGACTGTTCTCCCCCTCAATAAAAAAAGTATTATTCAGTTCTGAATGCATGTTTTAACTTACTATAGTTATGTCTGGTAAAAATATATTACTGTTGAATTATTAGAAAGCTCTAGTATTAAAATGTCTCTTATTTATAATTTTATGCCTATTTATTTCAGGGATGGAGAAAGACATCATAGTCATAAAAGAAGAAAGCAAAAAATATAAAAAGTGTGACTGCAGTAATTATGCTTATGGAGTAAATATGCTGATGTTTTAAATCTTTGCATAGGAGAAAATGGCTGTTATGATCGTGTAATACTCATTATTTTAATAAATGCTTCAAACCATGAATCAAAATTGTACCCTACAGGTTTATATTTTCCTTAATATTTTAATATATTCTTATTACTATTTGTTTTATTGTTTCAGTAATTTATCAGTTTTCTTGTTTTGCAAATCAGTACTTTAAATGGGTAAATTATACATGAAAGTCTCATTGTAAAAAGTCACAGGTGAGACTAGATTCTACCCTAGCAGTGACTACTGTCTGTCACTCCACTGGAGAATTGTATAGGGGAACACAGTTTAATTGTCTTTCTGAATGGGGAATGACCTGTGTTCACATGGATAGATCTTTAAAATGTAATACTAAGGGGGGAATGGTAAGTGGTGGGTATAAAATAAGTTAGCATTAGATCTATGTGAGAAACAATACTATGTATTTCTTTTTCTTTTCTTTTCTTTTTTTTTTTTTTTTTTTTTTGGTTTTTACGAGACAGGGTTTCTCTGTATTGTTTTGGAGGCTATCGGTCCAGCCTGGCCTCGAACTCACAGAGATCCGCCTGCCTCTGCCTCCTGAGTGCTGGGATTAAAGGCATGCGCCACCACCGCTCGGCTTCTTTTTCTTTTCAGCATCGCTTTTTTATTTTATTTTAGAAACAATCTTTTTTACATATCAATCCCCCCATTCCCTCGACCTCCCATCTTCCCATGCCCCCACCGACCCCCCAATCCACTACTCCCCAAGGATAGTGAGGCCCTCCACGGGGGACCATCAAGCTCCCTCACATCATCTGGGGGAGGGCCTAGACTCTCTTTCTTATTTCTGAGCTGCAATAGTATCCCTCCATAGGTAATGGGCTCCCAAAGTCCATTTCTACTCGAGGGGTAAACACTGGTTCCACTGTTAGAGGTCCCATAGACTTCCCTGGCCTCCTAGCTAGCATCCACATTCAGAGGGCTTGGTTCAGTCCAATGCTGGTTCCCCAGATTTACTACTAGGGTCTCCGTGCTCTCACTACATCAGGTCAGCTGTTCCTGGGTTTCTCCAGCACAGTCTTGGCTCCTTTGCTCATCCCTCCTCCCTTTCACCAACTGGATTCCAGGAATATGGCTCAGTGTTTAACTGTGGGTGCCTGCTTCTACTATGTGTTTCTTATGGATATATATGTATATGGTTATTTTTAAAGGTTTATTAGAAGCTATTCCAAATTCCTAATAACATGTGGGAAAGGATGTAGAAGAAATTGGGGTAGATAACAGGATTGAGAGGTTTGTCAAAGGAAACGTGGGCTTGTAAAGAATATATATTCATGTTGCATTTGGTAATAAAAATTGCTATCATTTTGTATCTTGCTTGAAGTACTGTGCTCATTTTAAATACATTTCATGAAATGTGGCTAGTGGATCTGCACAAGCACCTTAATGTCTAGACTGTTCTGCTGCCTCCAGACATTGTGTTCTTCCCTTATAGTCTCTACCCTAATGTAGAGCAGCCAGAGCTGTAATTATGCTGTAAATTATGATTTCTACCAACTAGGACTGACTGGAGAGTAAGACTGGATAGCTCATTTTATAGAACAAATAAATGGGAAGGAGCGGTGTGGAAGAAATGGGGACAAATAAGGCAGGATGGAGAAAGGAAAAGGCTAAGTTGCGCGAAACATTCCTTACAGGTTTTTAAGTGTACAGTCAGCTGATTGTGCTATCATCAATTGGATTTCTCTTTCCCACAGCTCTTGGCAGCGGGAGTGCCTCAGCGTGAGCTCTGCCTTCTTTGACAGAGGAGTGTTTTGTGTTTATTTTTACCTTTGAGCCCAGGTTGTGTCAGTCTTCCAAGTACTGGGATTATAGGTGTGTGTCACCATGCTTGGTGACTTCACATTTTCAGTTGATCTTGTGTATGTTGGTAGCACATTCCTTTTTATTGATGGATACTATGTTCTATTTTATCTAGAATAATTTTGATCAGATTGAAAGGCTGGGGAGATGCTTAGTCAAGGTCTTGCCGTGTTGGATTCCATCCCCAGAACCCACGGTTTATAATCCCAGTTCCAGGAAAGTCAAGATAGGTGAATCCCTGGGATTTGCTGTCCTGCCAGCCTAGCTTACATGGTGGGCTTCATGTTCACTGAGAGACTGAACAAAAAACAAGGTGGATGCTGCCTGGAGATTGGCCTCTGGCCTCCACATGCATGTACATAGATGTGAAGGTACACCCACACACAGAACACACAAAACCGAAGGACATAGGAGTTAAGGTGATACTCATACAGAATTGCTGCTTTTGTGAATCAAAACCTTACAAATTAGCAGTTTAACTTTGGATGCTCAACTTACAATTTTGTTGTAAATTATGATTTCTACCAACTAGGACTGACTGGAGAGTAAGACTGGATAGCTCATTTTATAGAACAAATAAATGGGAAGGAGCGGTGTGGAAGAAATGGGGACAAATAAGGCAGGATGGAGAAAGGAAAAGGCTAAGTTGCGCGAAACATTCCTTACAGGTTTTTAAGTGTACAGTCAGCTGATGGAGGTGTGGAGTTTGTAAAATAAGAACAAGAGGCGCTTAGGCCAGTTTCCTACCATTTGTACTTCTGACTGCGGCGCTATGTGCGCCTGGAGAGCAAGGCTTCTGCAACTATAGCACCTGTGCCTGACAGCAGCTCTAATTTGTTATTTTAAATACGACAGCATCTTCAGACCCAGCATCTTGTACCTAGTATTGTTTTATGAATTGCTGCTGTTAGTCATTTCTGTATCTGCCCCTTCTCCTCTTGTGCGTGCTGTGACCAAACGCAGGTCTTATTCACGCATGCACTAGGCAAGTGCTTTGCCACCGACGGGCATACCAGCATTTTTGTTGTTTTAAAGACAGTCTCACTGTGTAGCCCAGGTTAGCATCAGACTTATAGTCCTGGCTCTACCTCCAGCGCGTGTCGTGTCTATTCAGACCTGACTCTCCCACCAGCATTTCTAATCTCAGTATTTTTTTTCTCCCTGAATTTGTTAAGTACACTAAGAATAGTTAATGCTTACTATGTACCCAGTGGCTAACTCCTGAGACTTAAAACACTCAGTTTGATGGCACACAAAATGCTGAGGCAGGAGGATTGGTTGAACACAGGAAACCCTGACTCCATAGGCATGGGTGCTGTACTCTGGGTGACTGGTATTACATTCTTTTTTAGGTGAGAAAGAATGAGGCAAGTATGCCTTTCAGTCACAGTAAGAATTTCTCTAATAGAAGGATAAAAGCAGCCAAGAATTGGTTTTATAGCCAGAAGGTGGCAGGTGCACCAAACACTCAATACCCAGGGACTGAGGCAAAAGATTTGTTTGAGCTCCAAAGTTTGAAACTAGCTTAGGTAACGTAAGTGAGATCGTTTCTATTAACTGAACTTTAATAGTATTACGTGGATAAGTTTAAAACCCCTAGAGTATAGCAAGAATTTAAGCTATGTTGTGTAGCAAGGAGTTCGAAGAGGAAAATTATTGCCTTAATGTGTTGTTTAATGTTTAAAGGTTTGTAAACAGCTTGTACTCATGTTTCATGATTTGCTTGCACATCATGGTAGGGGAAATAAGCTTAGCTCCCATTTTCAAGGACAGACATTGTGAGACCTGGGAAGAGGTATGCTCATGTATGAAGGATAACTTGGGGATCAGACACTGTATGCCCCATATGTGGCCACTGTGTACGGGAAGGGCACTCAGTGAGCGGGGCTGATTAGTTGAAAGAACTCTCTCACCCTTAGTTCTCTCAGCAGGTTTCACTGTGTAGATGGAGGGACTGGCTGCAAGCATGTGCCACCATGAGCATGTGCTCCCTTGTTGAAACAACTGTAAGTCTTGAAATTGTTCCTAGGAAGCAAAAAACAAAAGCTTTCAGGACATTTCTGAAATGTCCAGGGCTCAATTGATCATTAAGGAGCAGCTGTGTTGGGAGGCGCAGCTTGCAGTGAATCTGCCGGCAAGAGTTTAAAAGGCAGCTGCCCTCGTTCAGCACAACGTAATTTTGCTTACCTTATCTAGGAATTTCACTTTCTCAGCTACTTTGTTAACCAGCGACTTCAAAAGCCATCTGTAATTTTGCTGGGTCAGTGACAATGGGCCCATTCCCCGTTCATCTTTTTTTTTTTTTTAACTAAAGCAACAGAGCCAAGCAGCCATGGATTGAAAAGCTCTGAACTCATGGACTGAGGTAAAGTTTTTGTCCTTATTTAAGTAATTCCTCAGGTGTCTTGCCACATCAATGTGAAGCTGCCTAGCAAACACCATACAAACAAGCCCTTCGAAAAAAGGAGCCAGTTGATAATATATTTTTTCTTCTTTTAAAATGTTTCGTGACTAGAGAGATGGCTCAGTGGTTAAGAGCACTGACTGCTCTTTCCAGAGGTCCAGGGTTCCATTCCCAGCACCTTCCTGTTGGCTTACAACCACCCATAACTCCTGTCCCTTAGATCTGAATCCTTTTTTGACACCTCCAACACCAGGCACCACATAGCTCTGGCTGTCGTGGAACTTACGAGATCCTCCTGCCTCTACTCCCTCCCCCGAGTGTTGGATTTAAAAGTGTGTGCCACTATGCCCTGCAAAACCCAGCTCTTTTCATTTAATTGAGGCAGGGCCTTACTCTGCAACCCCTAGCTGGCCTAGAATTCACTATATAGCCTAGGTTGGCCTTGAACTCATGGTGATCCTTATACCCTGGACTCTGAAGTGTAGATCATATGCGTGTCCCACCATGCCTGACTAGGAATCATTATGTTAATAGAAATGATAACATTAGCATCACGAGTGGACAGGTATCATATGCACACGTTTTCTGCATTTCTTTCCATCATGACAGTACTCATGGTAGATTATCTAGTTTAATTGCCCCCTGAATCTTCTGACCTATTATTAAGTTTAACCAGTGCTGTGAGCATGAACTTGGAAGTGGAGCTATCCTAGTGGAACACGGTGGCCTCACCAGTGCCCATACACCTGAAAACGATAACTTCCCGTCCACCAGGTAGGGTCTTGTTGAGTCCCTTACTCATCCATGACGGCCAGTCAGAAAGTCA